CCCACCCCCGTCGAAGAGAAAAAAAAATCAAAAGATTATATGGATTTTTTACGTGGGCCTATTAATAGACTCTAAAATCGATTAAATAAACCTTTGAAACCCCTATATTGTCATATTTTCGGGGCTACGTCCCCTGGACCATTTTCGAAAGTATCATGACAGTTAGCGACGCCAAACTACGCCCACTCACTCGTCGGGGAGATCAGCTCCCCCGTCGGGAACCTTGGACCCCACTGTAATCATCACACCTTATAGTTTGTAAGTTGGTAATACCTAGATTAAGGTCCACTTAAAATTCCATAGTACCGGACAGTATTACACATTGTACAGTATTAAAATTACAACGGTCATATCATGACACTTCATTCATTGAATTTACATGAATTCTTCCTTTGTAAATTCAAGGAAAATTGTAAACAGGTTGTAAACAAAAGCAAACGAGTTGATATTAATGTGATAACTCGTTGCAATGCTCAGACGTCAACGATCGTTTATCGGTGCTCAGGGGCGGATCCAGCCCGGTAAGAAAGAGGGGAATGTTGGTGAATGTGGGAACTCTGTGCTCAGGGGCGGATCCACCCCCGTAATAAAGAGGGGTAAGTGGGTGATGTGGTAACTGAGTGAGAATCTCAGGAAAAAAAAAACGCTAGGTAGGGATGCAGGGTCAATCCCCCTTAAACAGACCTTCATTAAATTTGAATTTTAATTGATTGATATTTAGCATGGTAATATTTAAATAAGCTTTGCAAAAATTTTAATTTACAATAAAATCTAAATCTGCAACTGCACTGAGAATATTTTTTTTATGTCATGAACAAGCCCATACAGTTAAAGATTAGTTAATGAGAAGATGAAAACAGTACAGTTCCGCACGCGCCCCACCCCCTTACTGGATCCGGGAATGAGTATATGCTTATAATGACTGTTTACTTGTGTCAATATACATGCATAATTAAGAGGAATCTGAAAATCCATTAAAATATTAAGGCATCCGATTTGGATAACTAGACAGAAAAGGGAACCTCGGCAGTATAATTTTCATTAATACAAGTCTCAATGGCTACGGCCACACGTCTCAAGCCCGGCTTGACTCAACGCGGGTGAGATTTCAAGCCAGGCTCGAAATTCTGGGTCGGTCACACAGTTGGATTGACCTCCAAATTATGAAAGTCGAAACAGCAGAGCCGTAGATTGAGAGTTTGGCCAACTCTGTTTCACGGGATTCGATATACGCGCGTGTGATTGGGTGGATCGCAATCAAAGATTTTACACCAGACGTGCCCGAACCACTCTTCTTCAACTGATATTTTATCAGCTTGTATTGGGCTCGCAATGCCTTCACTTTTGTTTGAATTTGGGCCGTCGTTCTCTTCTCATGTCCGAGACTGTCTAATCTGTCAGCAAGCACGGCAAAAATTCCCGTTTTGTTGTTTGTTTTTTTATTTTCTATCCAGTCTCTCAGCTCGGGTTGGCCCCACAAATCTACCAGGTCAGCAGTTTCCTGGTCGCTCCAAATCAATCGCATTATTATTAATTAAAATTTGAATTAACTTTTATGAAAAGTAATGATTGCGTCTTGATTGAACACACAAGAGGGTACTCGCGGGTTTTTTTTATTCAAGAACTTCTAAATGCAACGGCGTCATCGACTGTGAATGGTCGTCAGCCGACGAGGAAATGTCGATCTCGGTCACGCCAGGGACAATCCAGGGTCAATATGGGTGCTGAGCCGGGATCGAGATAGGTAGATTGAGATCGAGGTCACGGCAGGCGCGAGTCGGTGCAGAATAAGATTCGGTCACATTACGAAAATCTCGCCCGCGGTGAGTCAAGCCAGGCTTGAAACTCTAGTGTGACCGTAGCCAATATGTTTTTGTAGAGTAATAAAATGCTTATTAGAAACTTTCTGACTGCGTTGCAATTCTTTTCTGTAACGTTGCGTAACGTTATTTTCTGACAAAACCTATAATGACCACTCGTTCACAAATTATAACAACGTTGTTTATGTTTGCTGGGCGGCGCTTATACAGTAGGCCCTACTTGCAAAAGTGAGCAAGCAGCGTCCCAAAAAACAGATTTAATTCTTTCACTCGTATGCCACAAGAGAAAATTGTGTGACCTACTTTTCTAAGCAAATGGAATTGACTCTCCTTATAAGATCAATGATATAATAGAGGGTCTAAAAATGCAATTAATTGATGCAAACGTTGTTAAAAAAGGAAAACAAATTGCGAAGATATGATAATTTATTTTCAGTCCAACATGCATAAAATAAAATACCCGAGAATTTTAGTTGATGACAAAGGGCCATAATGTGACAACAATGTAACTACTCAGTGGCCATGATTGCACTGTTTGGAGAGAAATGTCTGTTTTCAGTTAAAACGCCGCGAACCACCAACATTCCTGTAAAAAATGAAAGTATTTTTTTGTTTCATTTTCTAACTTTATACATAAGGGTTTTAGGTGACAACGTAATATTGTTTAAACCTATTTACAGCTGTTTTGACCTATTTACAGCTGTTTTTGTGCAAAATGAAAGACACGTGCGTAAAACTAATTACATTATTATATGAAATCCGATTTATAATCGTTAGTATAACCTTTTCTGTAATGCAATTCGTTATATAATATGACATCCACTTTTTTTTTCTTCTTTTTTATAAGAACCAGTACAATTTTGCCCAGACTAAATATTCTTTTTTTTTTTTTTGGCAGATTTCAGGCTCAAAATGATGTTATTTTGTTCTTATGCTACACACTTTACAAAATCATTATTGTACTAGTATACATAGCTGTACAGGAATGTAGGTAAAAGTGGACCTGGAAAAATGGCCAATGAAAATAAAAAGGCCCCTGAAAAAATGTCCCCAGAAAAAAGGCCCTGGTAAAAATGGCCCCAAATGACAGGTAGGTACACCGAATATACTGTTTTATATAGGGTATTACATTATTACACCTACTGCACATAAGTCACAGATTATAATTTTTTTTTAATAGTTTTTCTAGTTTTTTTAAATAATAATCTCGTTTGGCATTTTACCTCAGCTACAACTTGTTCATATTTTTTTCTTAATTTTAAAGCAATTTTAGCCACAGTGTTTTTATAAAATGTGTCCCTATAATATATAAAAAAGTGTAGGATTTTAAAATAGATTATGTGTTTTTCTTTTAGTTCCCACCTGCTGCACTTGGATTTAATACGTTCTTTGGCATTTGGAAAGATCAAACGATCATGGTTCGCTTATACCAAGATAACCTGGGCATGTTTGTCTAACGTCCAATACATCCTAGGTATTGATGTGTTGTTTGTATATTTCCAGCATGCTTTATTCTTTACGTTGACAAGGCCAAATTAGGCTTATTGAACTTTACTTTTACTGTCAATCAATGTTGGTTATTGTTTATTTTGCAAACTTCCTGTTTAACAAAGTTTAAGGTGATTTTTATACAGGAATTTTTATATTGAATGTATATATATATATATATATATATATATATATATATATGTGTGTGTGTGTGTGTGTGTATGTGTGTGTGTGTGTGTGTGTGTATGTATGTATGTATGTATGTATATATGTATTATTGTGTATATTTTTTGTTTTTAGTAAGCCTTTTGCCTTTATTTGAATCAATGTATTTTGCTTTTCTTTTAAATTTCCCTTTAGTTTAAAACGTGGGGCTCAGCAAATAAGTAAACTTGAATTTTATGCGTGCGTGTAACTTCTATATAAAGACCAAATGACCAATTTTTGTCGCTAAATTTGTCGGGGTTAAGCAACTATAGAACCGACAGAAATCTTACTGACTTTGCTTGCAGTTTTTTTTTCCATTTTGTGCCTTGCTTTTTTAAAATTCATGGTTAAAATGTAATTTTGGTTTGTTAAGTACTGTATGTTTGAGTCTTTTCAATTTTGTTTGAGTACGCCTGTCTCATTAACTTGATTTACAGTATATGTCTCTAATGGTGTATTCCTGAATTTGACCCTATAACCCGTATTGCTCTATTATAGGCTGTGATATTAGACCATGGCAATATTGCAGTTTTATTGCTGGAGATATTTCAGGATTAGCTACCAAAGAATATTAA